TGATCTCACGAGGAAACCTATTTTACATTTTGTCAGTTTAGTGGTTAATTCATACAAATTCAGACGAGTTCAGTAGTACGAAAATGTACGATTTTAAAAAGGAAGGCGTGGCACCTAAACCCACACCTAAACCCAACTGTCATTGGGTGATTAGCAAATCGCACTAAATATACGAATTAGATCTTACGAATTCATATGAATTAGCCACTAAATCAAAAAGCGTTGTTTTTGTGTTGTTGTTCAAACACAAAAAAAAATGTTTGCTAAATATGCACATATGTTCAAATATATTATTAGTTTCTATATGTATTTATATGTGGTCATAAAACATGCTCGTTCCAATCGATTTGATGAAGGAATTAAGTTAACTTATTACACTCAAAAAAAAAAGAGAAAAAAAAAGAAAAGAAAAGTTCAAACGACTTATTTAAAAGGAGTTGAAACAACACAATTCTTGAGATTTTTTTGGGAACTTAATTCTTTTATGTGTTATATTCTTTTAATCAATAAACTTGAATGAATAATGTGAAACCATGCATTTAATTACAGTGAATTTAAGTGGATTGGACAATAAACGATTAAGTTGCCCCCCCAAAAAAACCTCAAGAATAGTGTTGTTTCAGCTTAATTCAAATAAGTAGCTTGATCTAACAGCAAAGGTAATTCTCTGAGTGTACATGAACTTGTAAATCACATGTAATTTACTATTTTTAGATATTTTGAAAAGTGCATCTATAATCTGAGCAGGCACAGACATGCAGTGACAAACTCCAAATTGTGTTACTGATAGTAATTGAGGACAGCGAGCACCCACTGGCCTCATAATCCTCCTTGTCTCCTTTCAACTGCAGTTAGGAAGCAATTAACCAAGTCAGGCGTCCAGCATGAGAACACCAAAAACTGATTTACAGCCCAGGAGTTAAAAAGTAAGCCAGGGAACCAAAAACTAATATTGCATTATTTTGTACTGCTTCTGTTTTGCTTGGGAAATGTAATACATGGTGTTTTTTCTGGAAATGTTTTTGCTGTGACCATAAACAATTCATCATCATCAACCCAATAAAGTCAAATGGCTGCAGAGTAACATAATGTATTGTCACTCACAAAAATATCCTTCTTAAAAATGCAGGAAAGAATAGAAGCATAACTGATAACATCTCGGACAAACTACAGCAAGTCAAAGTCTGTGAACTCTAGTGGAGAGACAGCAAATATGGATTGTATATATACTGTACACAGAACCGGTCAAAAGTTTGTGGTCAGTACATTTTTTAAATGTTTTAAAATAAGCTTCTCTTGCTCACCAAAGCTGCATTTATTTCATCAAAAATACAGGTTAAACTGCAAAATTGTGAAATGTTGTTGCTCTATAAAATAACTGTTCAAAAGTAGATTATAATCTAATTTATTCCAGTGATTTTAATGATGAATTTTCAGCTTCATTACTCCAGACTTCAGAGTCACATGATCCTTTAGAAATCCCTATAATATTAATAATCATTATATATTATCAATATTATTATTTATTATTATTAGTATCATTATCATTATAATGGTAATAGTAATAAAAGCAATAATGACTGAAGTAATAATTTCATTTGAAACTACATACAATTAGTAATAAATAAATATTTATTAAATATGTATTGAACAATTTAACATTTTTTTTTACATTTAATAAATGCCACCTTGATGAATAGAATAACTTTATTTAAATTATTATATAAAATTAATAATAAAATAAATAAATAAATAAATAACTGACCCCAAACTTTTGACCGATAGCGTATATATGGATACCTAGATTGAAAGATTAAATATCTACCACAAAGTTACATTACAAAGCAACAATTAGTAGTTTCAGTATATACTGTAAAAAACAAAATTATTAGCCCTGCTGCGATTATTATTTTTTGTATTTCCCCAATTAATATGAGTTTCAAAACATTTTGAAAAAATAGTTAAAATTATTTTGATCTTTCCAATAGTGACAGTACTCAACATTTAACTAGTTATTTTGCATAAACTATTCAGCTTATAAAGTGCAATTTAAAGATTTTACTATATTTATTTGGCTAACTATTCAAGTTTATTTAATTTAACTACAGAACAAACCACTGTTGTCTAATGACGTCCCTATTGAAAAAAAAAACGTATCTTAACAGGGCTAATAATATTAACCTTAGCAGTTTTGACTTCTTTTTTAATTCCAGTCAAACTGAAATAAATGAGACTTTATGCAGAAAATATAATGAATAATATAACAGGAACTACTGGGCAAGATGTCCTTGTTCTGTTAAATATCACTTGGGAAATATTTTAAAACGAATGGAAACTTCACAGAAGGGCTAATAGTTTTATTAAAAAAAATAATAATAATTTAAACAATTATATATATATATATATATATATATATATATATATATATATATATATATATATATATATATATATAATTTGAGAAAAGGGTGATTTCCTCAATAACTTTAAAAAGTACTTCACAAATTTTTCTCATTTAATTAATTACCAAGAAATCAGCACAGATTTCTTTTTAAAAATATCTGAAATTTGAAGCATTTAAAATATTTTTATGCATTTATCAATATTTAAAAAGTTTAATTCGCATTTAACTTTTATTTAATAAACAAATTATTATATTAGATCAGATTTAAATAAGATTTTGAATTTCCAGATTATAACTGTGGTCTCAATCTTTTTGCAATCTGCCACATTCTGTTGGAGCCCCTCAGAAACGCACTGACCATGAATGGTATTTGAATCCAACACAATGTAAGGCAGGAGAGAGAGAGAACAATCAGCCGAGAGTCTGGCATCAGCATTGAGCAAACGTGAAAAGATGAGGTGCAAATTGCTAAAACGGAGCCAAGCATGCAAGCGGGTAATTGCTGGCAGTTTCAGAAATTAGATGTTGTTGCATCAGCCTCGACTGAGTGATCCAAATGTCTGTTTCCAAACCGTAAATGGACTCCAACTCGCAACCTGTTCGGTGTGCAGTGATGATTAAGGCCAAAATGAGGGAGAAAACAATAATAGATGAATTTGTTTTCCAATACGAGTAATATCATAGGAGCCTGAACACAGAAAGGGTCACAGTACTTCTCATTTATCATCCGCATTCGGTGGCCTAGTTTATAAAAAGACAAAAGAAGTCTGCTGCCATCATGTGGCCATCTGAACATTCATTTCATTATGAAAACTGAGCAAAACAAAAACAAAGCAAAAACAAAAACAAGGAAAGGTGAGAAGCAACATGCAATATAGAAAAACAATAAATAAATACGCAAATATATAAATAAAAAAGTAAATAAATCCATAAATAAAATAATAAATAAATATGTAAATAAATGAATGAATAAATAAAAAAAGTACTTTTCCTCAGCTCAACATACTAATAAACATACTAAAAAAGGGTGTCTTTTAATCATCAGAAGGTGGTCAATATGCCATCATTGGTTGATCGCTAGAAAAATATTGCATTCGATTTTTTTGACTGGCTTCTGATGATTGATAGACACTTGATGCAACTTCATTTAGGAATAAATAAAAGTTTGAAAAGGGGGAGAAAATAAACTTTCAGTTCAGCATGTTCTTATTCTCCCAACATCCGTGTAATTTATTTCATTATTGACCTGCCCGCACTTAATTATCATTACCTATTATTATTAATTAATTATTTATATATTTATTTATGCAATATTGTTTGATATTTTATTATATACATTTATTTATTTGCATATTTATTTATTTATTGTTTTATTTATGCATGAATTTAAGGATTTATTTACTCATTTATTTATTTAAAGCAGACCGCAACAAAAACAAAACAAAGCAAAACAAAAGAGAGAGCAAAAAGCAAACAAAGCAAATCGGTGAACTGTAGCAAAGCAAATTAAAAGCAAAGCAGAACAACAACAACAAAGTTGTCCTCAAAAGAAAAACTAAGCAAATCATATCACCGCAAATCACAAGCAAAGTAAATCAAAGCAAAAACAAACAATAAAAATACAGCAAAAAGGCAAGCATCTAAACAAAGCATTAGCAAATAAAAGCAAACAATAAAAAAGCCTAAAAGGAAAAAAAAGGAAGGAAAAGAAGGAAATAAATAAATAAAGCAAATGCAGAGCAAAGCAAAAAACAAAAACAAAAAAGTAAATGATAACAAAGCAAATCAAACCAAATCTAAAAATAGCAACTAAAAACTGCAACTAAAAAAGATTACAGAACAGCAATATTAACTATAGTAAAAATATATCTATATAAATAAAGATAAAAGCAAATAAATGAAAAAAATAAAATAAAAAAACAACAAAAATAAAAATAAATAAAGCACATCAACTAAAAAAGCATATAAATAATGATAAAAATTAATAAAAATAAACTGATTAAAATGTAAGCATATCAAAAGAAGTATATAATTCATAGCATATAATATAGCATAAGGATATTAAGTATAAGACACACTAATAACCCTCTTTTAATGTTACACTTGAATAGGTTTGAACTCAACTTAGCATGAATAAACAATTAACCTTTTAGGTTTTTTGACCAGCGTTGTTGATTAACTTGTGTCCCTGACACCATCTGAAGCAAATTTTGAGTCTTTTGTTTTAATGACAAACTATGGACAAAACGTCAATGATGGCAATGATGGTTTGCTGTGACTTGTAGAGCTGTGCATCGATGGATTTGCTCTTCAGTGTTTGGACTTTCAGCAGTGAAAATTAAACCACAATGAACTGAACTTCAACACTGAAAACTGGACTGACACAGTTTAAATTTCAATTTACAAGAATGTCTCTGTTAAACTGCTTTGACACAATCTACATTGTAAAACTACTATTGAAATAAAGATGAAATGAATTGAATTCCTCTCAAAGGGTTAAATGCATGCTGGAATCAGCAGTTCTCCAGTAGAGGGCAGTGCTGGCCAGCTAAAATTGCTGCAGTTTTTGGTTCATTAAATCGCTTGTCAACACGTAGAGCAAATCACTGAGCTTTTATTGTTCATTCACAAGCAAAATATAATAATGACCAGTGTAACAGAGTTCAGTAAGAAATTAAACAGATCCGACAGTAAATGCTTGATTAAGACAAGCCAACACAAGCAAATGTATACGTTTTGCATTAGAGTATGATCAAAATTAATGCGATATTCAACACACACCGCTTAAAAGCAGCTTCTCCCTTTTTCTCCAGTGTGTAAGCGATTAAAATCACATGCATATCAAATAGTCTTATTGCACCACATTATTTCATATTAAAAATGGGATAATAAACATTAATGGCATAAAATATACTCATAAAAATATGTAAGAGTAGTGACTGGATACATATTCAGTTACTATAGCCTACATGATGCATTCTTGTTAGGTTTTTGCTATTGTGCATCAGACTACGCTTAAAATAAAGACATCTCAGTATACAGGTTTTTAAAACGTCAACAGTAAATATGCTTAAAAGCAATAACCCTGCATTGTGGAATCTTTTTTTTTGGCATACAGAGCACAACTCAGCAGTGTGTAGGTAGATGTGCATTGCTTTACATTCAGCCTAAATCACCTTCAATCCTCCGTCTTCAGCAGATCTTCAGCTCTTCACAGTATCACACAGCTCGATCCTGATGACTCCTGCGATCTGCTGAAACAACATTATTAGTTTTATTATTAATTCAATTCAATTTAATTTAATTCACTTTTATTTGTATAGCGCTTTTACAATGTAGATTGTATCAAAGCAGCTTCACATAAAAGATCATAGTAAATTGAAACAGTGTAGTTCAGTATTTAGAGTTTAAGTTCAGTTCAGCTCAGTTCAGTGTGGTTTATTATTCACTATTGAGGGCCTAAACACTGACAGCAAATCCATTGATGCGTAGCTCTATTATTATTATTATTATTATTATATATTCTCATTTTAGCCTTCATACAATACCTTCATTCATTTTGGGATACATTTTTTAAACGTCTTGTTCTGTTCACCAAGGTTGCATTTATTTGATAAAAAATACAGTAAAAACTGTAAAATTTTGTATTATTGAAACTTAAAATAATTTGAGTTTTTTTAAATTGAATGAAGTTTAAAATGTTAATTTGCTCCTGGGATTTACAGCTGAATTTTCAGCATCACTACTTCAGTCTTAAGAGTCACACGATCCTTCAGAAATCATTGTAATACTGTATGATGATCTGCTATCTGAGATGCATTTATTATTATTATTATTATTATTATCAGTGTTGAAAACTGTTGGCCTGCTTCCTATATTTGTCAAAACTGTAATAGAGTTCGTTTCAAAAATGCCATTAATTTTTAGATGAAACAAAAATAATATTAAAAAAATTGTAATAAAGAAACTATATAAACATATTTATAATGTAAACTAAAGAAACTGATTTCAAATAAATCCTATGACCGAAAATACATCAGTTTAAACAAAACTATGAAGCAAAAATAATATTCATAAGAATTGATATGGGCGATGCGGTGGCGCAGTAGGTAGTGCTGTCGCCTTACAGCAAGAAGGTCACTGGTTCGAGTCTCAGCTGGGGCAGTTAGCGTTTCTGTTTCTGTATGTGGAGTTTGCATGTTCTCCCCTCGTTTGCTTGGGTTTCCTCCGGGTGCTCCAGTTTCTCCTACAGTCCAAAGACATGCGGTACATGGAAAATTGGGTAGGCTAAATTGGTGTATGAATGTGAATGAGTGTGTATGGATGTTTCCCAGAGTTGGGTTGCAGCAGGAAGGGCATCCACTGCTTAAAAGATGGACTGGATAAGTTGGCAGTTCATTCCGTTATGGCGACCCCGGATTAATAAAGGGACTAAGCCGAAAAGAAAATTAATGAATGAAGAATTGATATTTATAAGAATTTTTATTAATATATAGTCCTGATAATAATTGATCAAATAGTTTGTTTTATTATGCTTTAAAAGACATACAAAATGCCAACTAACAATAGTAAGAAAAATCCATTCCAAATTTCCAAAAAGTCCAATTAATAACAACAACAAAAGATATAAGCAACAAACCTTGATTAATAAATAAGAATTTTAAATACAGAACAAATCATAATATTAATTAAACAAATAATTATATTATTACAAAGTCCAAAGCAAAATACAAAAAGATCACTCTTCAAAAAACCTTCAAAACATTATATAGTATTTTTTTATGATACCTAATCTTTAGAAATTTCAGAAAGACCATCAACATTTTTTTAAATCAAAAAGTAAGATAGTGTTTGTTTTTTTATCAGCAATATTAGACCATTTCTGAAGAATCATGTCACACTGAAGACTGGAGTAATGATGCATAAATAAACTACGATTAAAAAGAAATAAGCTGCTTTGGCACAATCTACATTGTAAAAGCACAATAGAAATAAAGATGAACTGAACTGAATAAAAAAATGGGAAGGAAAACCAGTTATCTGAAACTAATAATATTGAATAATTTGAGTTTTTACCGTATTTGTAATCAAATTAATGGAGCTTTGTTGAGCAGAACATTTGAAAAACCTTACTGATCCCAAACTTTTGTCCGCTAGTGTTTATAAAGACACAAAATGAAATGTCTTGAAGGTGACAGATGTAGGACAGGACGATGCTGGTTATAATGTGAAATGATGCAGTAAATGTACCCGTCAGCAGGAGTTTGATCAGGTTTTCTCCTCTTGGTGGCGCTGCGGCTGCTCTCCTCTGTTGAAGACAGTGATCTGCTGCTCTCCTCCCTCACTTCATCATCCAACATCTGCAGGAGGAAAAATAACTCCCATCTTTCACTCAGTCTGATGCAGGATTGAAGTCAAACTAACTAAAGTGCAAAGAATAAGGAATTATCTAAACAGCATCATTTGAAATGTTTACAGAAATATAAGAAACAGATTTGACAGTTTGTTTATTTGATCAAGGGCACAGAAAGAATACATATTTTAACATTAAAATAAGGACACTATATATGAATATATGAACTGTAGGGTAAATGGCTAAGTACAACTAAAATAATAATAATAATATTTTTATATTGATATTACTAACTTTCAAATGTTTGCTTATTAGAAGTGAATTAGAATTATTATTAATGTTGTTGTTGTTATAATAATTATTATTATTATTATACCATTTCTGTTTTAAAAAAACTGTTGTTGACTCTTTGATTCTTATTCTAGTCCATTGGTTCTAATTATTTATTGGTTTATTATAATTTACTGTTATTATTGATACTTTTTCTAGTGCAAGAATATTAATGCCTTTTCATTTCAAATTATAAACAGAATAGATTAAAAGATCATTAATCACAAAGGATGTGATCACCTTAAATAGATTTATTTCCATTTTTAATTAACACTAATTTAAATGTGGTGGGAAAAAGTCTGACTACTAGGGTGAATAGCAATTAAAATAAAATGAATACACAATTTAAACACATAAAATCTTTTGAAAAAAAAATGTGAAAATCATTCAAAATAATAATTGAGAAATTATTTTAGGAAAGCATTTAATATATTTGCTTATTTGATTATGCCAAATAAATTATTTATAACAGTGATAATAATGATATAAACAATATTAATAATAACAATAATAATTGAATTATATAGAATTAACAACAATAACAATTTAATTTGTTATTATTATTATTAATTCAACAATTATACAACTTATTGTTTCCTATTTCTTTTAACCTAAACATTTATTTTTCCTTCTTTCCTCAAGCATTTTTTGTCTATAATTTAGTTTATGAAACAGTAAGGAAATCTGAAAACTAGTTCTATATTTTGAAATCAAAATCGTATAAAAGCTCCCTCACATGCTCAACTCTTCTTCCACATATTCAATTCTTCATCAGGGGTATTAAACTACATTAGCTAAATAAATAAACAAATAAAAGTCTCAAACTTTAGGACACACTAACATAGTTACTAATATGACACTTTATGAGTTCAGACGTTAATTGTGAAAGAGCTGACCATGGCTCTTTTAGTTCCTCGTGTGTTCTGGCTCTCTGTTGAGCTCTGGTCATCTGCGTCTGATCTGATGGGTGTCCTGCACAGCTCATCTCTCCTGTGAACCACTGTATTCCTGGACTTCAACTGCCTGAAAGACAAAAGCAGAGCCCCTGTCATCAACTCAACCAGCAAACATCATCTATATCCCTTCTCCCTTTAAAATACACATGAGGCTGGCTAAATTTTCACATGCATATTCTTTACATTAATGCCACTTCCATTTATATAATTTTAAATATTAATTTTTATCATTGAAAAACTTAGTAAAGTATGTGAAAAGCAGAATAAGAAAAACAAAACCAAAAGCAAGAGAATGAGAATAAAATGTAGGCATGTTACAGTTAAATTCAATGCAGTAGATAGATAATATTTGCTCATGGATAGATTGAATGAATGAACAATGTCATGTAAGGGAATTCTTTGCTATGTACGGGAATGAGTCTATGTGAGGATGAGAGACGCTCAGTTTTGTCATACGGCTCCAGCCTCCTTCACCTCATGTCATCCAAAACCATCGATCGGCCAACTGATATACTCATATTTTATCAATAATCAATAGTCTCCCACACTATTACAATTAAAACCACCCCTAAAGAAGATGCATCAAACTCTGACTTATTTTTATGAACAAGCAATGTTGATTTCTGCGATTACTGCCAATGAAATGATGCGATCTTAACTTTCAGATGGTTTTAGGGGCCAGGATACTTTATGTTTGTGGTCTTGCTGCGAGTCGATAATCAGTGGCATTAACATTACTGGTATGCAACAGCTGAAAATAAGCTCAAGGATTGTATTACTCAACCACAAGCAATAACAATAACATACTGCCGTATCGATAGCTGGAATCTGATAGCCTTTTGTGAAAGGAAACGATTATATTTGCGTTACAGATAATCATGGAGGGGAACGAAAACAGAATCAGAAAGGCAATTGGAAGTCACGTGATGGGGATCGGTGACATGGCTTGTGTCGAATATGAGTAAATTAAGTAGGAGTTACATGATTTAAAGCAGTCAAATGCTTTTACGTTTGATTCGATTTCCTCAGTTACTCAGTTCTCTAATCGATGTAGTATCACAACTCAAACAGATTTAAACTTTCAAGAGTCAAAAATAAAATTGATAGACACTAAACTGCAATAAAAATATTTTTTTTGTTCTGTTTTTGGCCTTGTATACTACCTTACTCTATAGACCCTGAATAAATTAGATTTTTTTTTCTTAATCAGCAAATTCAAATCAATCAAATATAATATTTCCATGCTTTTCAGACAAGCTTTTGAATGACTAAAATTTAAATGAATATAATGAAAACAATAATCATAAAATAATTAAATCCAGGCAAATATCAACTAAAATTAATACAATCCATCAATCATAACGAAAAAAGGGTATTTACATCTAATGTATAGTCTATTTCTGTCCGTTCGCATCCCATCTCTTTGTGCCACCTGGCGGCATAGTCGCAAACTGCGGTCATACCTAAAACAACACGTTCTTTTTCGTTTAAAGCGGCGGCGGTAATGGTCACATTGAACTTTCACCAACTGTATATAAACTGGATTCCACAGGCCACTGTACAATACATGATGCTCAGTTTATCCATTTATTCAGAACTGTATAAAAATGCTATTCGTGCCTGAAATTACTTGAATTTGTCTTGTCAGATAAAAAAAAGCACAACCTAAATAAATCAATTAATTAATTAACAAAATGAATAATGTGAATAATATAGGGGAAAATGTTATGGTGTACAAGACAAATTTTACATTCTCATTTAGAAATCATGTCAAGTTGGCTACCAGTATCGCTTAATAAAGCAAAAATCTTTAAAAGCATTATATAAATATACAGTTGAAGTCAGAATTATTACCAATTTATTTTATTTTTTAAAAATGTTTCATAATTATGTTGAACAGAGCAAGAAAATTTCCACAGTATGTCTAATATTATTTTTTCTTCTGGAGAAAGTCTTATTTGTTTTATTTCAGCTAGAAAAAAGGCAGTTTTACATTTTTAAAAACCATTTTAAGGTCAAAATTATTATCCCCTTTAAGCTATATTTTTTTCGATAGTCTACAGAACAAACCATCATTATACAATAACTTGCCTAATTGCCCGAACCTGCCTAGTTAACCTTTATTAATCTAGTTAAGCCTTTTAATGTCACTCTAAGCTGTATAGAAGTGTCTTGAAAAGTATCTAGTCAAATATTATTTACTGTCATCATGGCACAGATAAAATAATTCAGTTATTAGAGATGAGTTATTAAAACTATTATGTTTAGAAAGGTGTTGAATAAAATCTCTGTTAAACAAAAATTGGGGGGGGGGGTAATTGGGGGGGTAAACGGTGGGCTAATAATTCAGGGGGGCTATATTTCTGATTTCAACTATATATTAGTTCGCCTCACTCCACAACAACTGCCTTATATTTGATATGCAAAAACAGATTTTTTTTTTTTTTTAAGCTGGGAAATATATGTTGGACGGTAAAAAAATGAAACGTTCCAGAAAATATGGCAAACCATTTAATTAAAATTTTAGAATGTTTTCACATTTTTAAACCTAATATTAATTGCAATAAGTTAAATTCAACGTTAGTTTTTTGGCACAAATATATGTAAACATCAGAACACTGATGCAAGATGATGTTATAAAAACAGCATTTTCAAGACCCACATTGGTTGCACAAGCAGGACAGTGGCTGCACGGTGTCTCTCCTTTTCTAACAAACAAACAAAAAGCGTCCCACTCATACCGCTGACCTTTGACCTGAGCCAACACAACCTGTCCAGCTCGGTCTCTAATTGTGCTCCCTTGGGTTTGTATGTTGTGCAGAGAGAAAGCCACATATGAGTCTCTCCCCACTATAAAGAAAGCACAAGGTGACAGTTCCTCCCTCCCAATCACTCGGACAAGAGTGCTAAGCTAATTACTCCAGATTTGGGCTAGTCCCGTGTGAGAAGTTGGGCCTATGTCAACCCTTATGCCCCTGCGAGAGTAAAGGCAACTGATGTGATGCTAGCATTAACAGCAATGTCTAAATGGCTTGATTATGAGATGTTTTCAAGCTTTAACTTTTATACCCGCAAGGAGTCGACAAAAACAAAAAGACATGAGATTTTAGCATAGGGAGTGTTGGTTGTTAGGAGTTTTGGGCACACTGGTGGGGAGAGACGTACTGTACTCACCCAATCGTCAAGCAGAGACTACGATACCAATCGTTAATGTCCACTTGATCGTCAGACATTAAGAGCAGCTTGGCCCTGGCGAAGGTCAACTAGAAGAGAGAAAACAAGGGAAACGTTGAAGGAAGTTTACAAAAGTAAGAAACATTTTATGATATATCAGAAATTAGTTTAATGTACTGAAAAATGCATAATGAATGTGTTCATACCAGGCATAGGATGTTTTAAAACCACCAGAACTTTCTGTTTATACCGTTCCTCTGGTAGATATAAAGTTTTTTTTGTATGACTATTTTATTTGGGTTTTTTTTAGGACAGCAGTATCTCCAGCAAAAAAAGGACCCTCCACATCAAAAGCTACTGTTCTAAAAATGTTTAAATGTTTCTTAAAATAAAATATATAGTGATGCATCGGGGGAAAATGTGTTTATTTAACCCAGACTTTTAAAATTTCATATTTTAGAGCAGTAATCTCAATTTTGTGATGCTGTGATTTTTTTTATGCAAGGTTATTATACTGTTACAATCTTATACCGGCCCATGCCTAGTTCACACAGATGCCTCTTCTATGACGAACATGTTAACAAAAAATAAATAAATAAAATAATATTACTAATAATGCATTAAAATTACTTTGGAATTTAATATAGTATTATTATTAGTGAAATATTTTGTGCATACAACATATTTCTTGGGGTCTGATGCAGAGTAAAAAGCCTCCTCAAAAGAAAATTTGCTCAATGGATGGATAGTCAGACAGAAAGACAGACTAAATTAATATGCAACAAGGTTGATAACCACACAATGACTCACAATGACATACAAATGCATTTTTGCTTTTTTGAATTTATTTGTTCATCAGTTATTACATTTTCCTTTAAAATAATGATTTAATTATACACTCACAAAAATTTTAAGTGCAAGAAAAATACCTTATAATCTTTTTACTGAATAGAGACTCTTCTTAATCTTTAACATGATATGCTGTTATGCACATAATTCCAAGGGATCACTAGAGGGCGTCCATGAACTAGTATGTTGTGGTTTTCACCTGTGTTAATTGTGTCCGCAGTCTCAAAATCTCAAACATTTGTACTCTTATGATTCACAGTAACAAACTTTATAGTTTCAGACACGTAACCTACAAAAAAAAATCAGAAGAAACGGCCATACTATTGGCATTTTGGCACTAACTGCATTTTAAGGCCATGATTGCCCTGATGAAGACATTATGAGGAAGTCAAAATGCAAAGCATTAAGGATGATTTCATTTAATCCACCACAACAACATTGCCAATAACATTCAAGTAGATAATTTGTGATCAATCTAATGTAAAATAGGTCATCCACTCAACATAGAGACTCGGTAAGGAGATTCAGAGCAAGCAAGCCGCTCTCCACTCCAACCCAAAGATGCACAGATGTGCCAGTTGATGCTCTCAGCTGCTAATTTGGCAATGATCTGCACTTCGAGGACAAGTTTTTCGAGCTCTGCCCACGTTCTCCACCTCCCGTCAGATGGCTCATCCTTGAGTCAACAGCAATTACCATCACTCATCCGCACTGAGGAGACTTTACTGCTAGATTACACATGTCAAACAAGACAACGGGAACCGTCCAACTCCAAACAAAGGCTGAGGCTTTATCCTCGGAATAATTACAACGGGGACCCATTAGAGTGGATTATAATTGGGGCCTTGGAAATATTAAATGACCTTTCGCATTTACCTGAGGCCGCCGGAGTGGAGGAAACGGCAGCAGTTACCGACAGCATATCAATAATCAGGCCTAATCTTTATTACGGCTGGGGACGCAATCATAATGATGAGCGGGAGCCGGGTCTTTAATGGACACCTGGTAAAAAGTAATGACGCTCCAGTTGTTTTTTAGGGGTGGGGGGGTGGGGGTTCTTGTGCTTGTTTCTCATTAGGTATTAAATAGATTAAGATTTCAAATGTACCATCATCAAAAGTATTATCTAATTACCGAGTTCAGTGAGCAAGGCAAAGCGGAGCGCGATATTAGGGGTCCGCCGCATGGGGCGGGGGGGAGACGGGTGGCCTGATTTATGCACAAATAGATTCCACTTCTATTGCGATGCGGTAATTAGGGATTTGTCAGGAAATCTGACCCTCTTAGGTAGAAATTACTTTGTATAATATGAACGGCGGAGCACGGAGGCTCTTCGACGCACATAATTTCACTTGATTATTTATACATCAAAGGGAATCGGTCATGGATGCAGAATAATATTCAAGGAGGTGGAGGAAGAAAGACGGGGAGCCGGGAGAGGAAGACGGAGAGAGGCGAAAAGGGAGGGGGACGCGAAGATGGGAAAAGAGAAAAGGAGGGAAGAAATTATCCGTATACAAACACTCTCTCATCTAGACAAATGGATAGGGGAGCGGGAGCCAAAAATTTTCATAGCACATTTTCCTCTACTACTACTACTACTTTCAAACTTTGCATATAGATTGCCATGGCATTTCCAGCTGTCAAATTTAATTTTGCTTTAATTCTTCACGGCCCCGCTGGGGAGGGGCTAGAGAGTGCTGACAGCCTCTTTCCCCTTCGGTCCAGGTGGGAGGCGGGTGGAACTGGGATCAATAATGTGTCCTTATGAGAAATTACACCTAATGCTATTGAGTATGCATTCGAGGCCTCAGTGGGATAACAGGCTAATGAAATGCCATTTCTAGCCATTAGATAATATGGAGCCGTGGCCCCGGCGAAGGAGAAGAGAGAAGCGCGGAGCAATGACAGGGTTTCAGCAAGATGCATTCAGCGGCCGAGCGGAAGAGATGGATCTGTGATCTAATCTGATGGAGTGATGCGAGCGCCTTCCCACAGTTCCTCCGAGCGGGTGGCTCAGACAATCCTTTTTATGTCTATTCCGGGTGCGAAAACAGCACCTGTGACATGATAGCGTAGTAGATCTGGAACCACTAGTGCCATCGCCCTCAAGTCTTACAAAATGTCAAAATACCCTGTTGTAATGCATCTTGGTGTTGTATTGCTTCTGATTACTTCAGGCACTTAAACTACACCGTGTTAAATAAATGCCTTGGTGGAGTGCGATACATTCGTCTGAATGTTTCATGGGAGTGCGGAGTTCGTTTAGACATAATTTGTCACACAGCGGCAGCACAGAGACCTGGAAAGAGATCAAGCCATGTGGAGACATTAAAACTTGAAGCCTTATGAGGAACCCGAGTAATTAGTGCAAGAAGAGGAATGATAAATTGATAATTTGTGCTAACTTGCAGATCAAGATATTTCTCAGAACAATAATAGTGGAATAAATACAACCAAATGTTAAGATTTCCCAATAAAGAAAGAGCAGGGGTTGCAAAAATGATTCATCAATTGATGAAAATGAAAACTGAATCCATCGATTAAAGAAAATCTATAGAATTTAACAACACCCTGCAGGCACAGGATTGACATATTGACGTCGTACCTCAACATACCCCAACGTCGTGGGACATCGGATTTTGTTTGAAAATAAAAAAATTGGGTTGACATTAGAACCCAACGTCAGGCTGACGTCAACGTCCAATGTTCAACCTAAAATCAACGTTAAATCATGTTACACCTTGGCGTTGTGTGGACGCTACCACCCACTATGACATCTATCAGATGATGGATTTTGGCCACTTTCGAACACAACCTAAAATCAACCAAATATCAACGTAAATCTACGTCATTATTGGACATCAAGGGCGAAGCAGTGGCGCAGGTAGTGCTGTCGCCTCACAGCAAGAAGGTCGCTGGCCTCGGCTCAGTTGGCGTTTCTGTGTGGAGTTTGCATGTTCTCCCTGCGTTCGTGTGGGTTTCCTCCGGGTGCTCCGGTTTCCCCCACAGTCCAAACACATGTGGTACAGGTGAACTGGGTAGGCTAAATTGTCCGTAGTGTATGAGTGTGTGTGTGTGAATGTGTGTATGGATGCTTCCCAGAGATGGGTTGCGGCTGGAAGGGCATCCGCTGCGTAAAAACTTGCTGGATAAGTTGGCGGTTCATTCCGCTGTGGTGACCCCGGATTAATAAAAGAACTAAGACGACAAGAAAATGAATGAATTAATATTGGACATCAAAATAACGATGGCATCAAATTAGACGCTGGCTAGACATTGAATTTTGGTCACCTGATGTCATGAACTTAATCTAACCTTATATTAACGTCTTATGATGTTGTGTGCCTGCTGGGCAACAACAACAACAATAATAATAATAATAATAATAATAGTAATAATAATAATAGGGAAACTATTAGAATTACCATAGTGTGGTGCCTTTATTTTCAGTTCACCTTCAGTTGTTGTGGACCAAATTAATAAGTAAGCGTGTACTTTTTTGTATGCTTTAAGACTTTTCCCATCCCTCAATATGCAAAAACAATCCAAACTGATCGTAAACGAACACAAAAAATCCAAATAAACTTTTAACTTACACTAATAAGGCCTCCCTGGCTCTTGGTGTGTCCAAAAACTTTGTCCACTGTGCACTCCTTCAAAGGGTAGACTCGCTGGCAGGTAAACTTATCCCCATTGGTAGGATGCATAGGACTGCATGGTTTGGCCTGAAGCAGGATGTCAGAGAAGAGGTAAAACATCTTGGGCTTTGCCTCCGTGCCTTTAGGGGGCACTGTCTTAAGCCAGCCTTCCCGAATGTACCACCTCCCTGCGACGAGAAGAGATAACAGAGAAATTGATGAAGGACTTACCTATTGTCTACCTAAAAAGTCAATTTCAAGCGGAGAATAAGAAAGCAGAGAGCTTACATGACTTGAGACGGAAAAGAGACCACCAATCTCCCTTCTCAGTGATTGGCAGTTGCATGATGGAAACTAAATTAGATGCTGACATTTGGATAGATAAGATGAAATTTCATTCCTGCTACTGATTCCTTAATTGCCCCAGTGAACCTTGTGATTGCCGCTCGGGCGATAGTAAGCGGGGAAGCTCAAAATGGATGCTCTGAGCGACAGACAAGCACTCTATGATTAGCAGAGGGGTCAAGTAGGGGTCAGACCGCTTTTTAAAAATGCCACAGGTTTAATACGAGGCAACAACGAGGACACATCCTGTGATACTGCAGGGCGACATGTGCAGATTGGATTTAATAGTTTCTTTGGCTTCTTTAAAATTGGTTACATGCATTTACATGGTCAGGCTCTGTGTGGATCACATAGGATAGTCATGCCTGATGATTTCCCTGCCGCATACACAATGCTTACAAGTGTACTGCGCAGAAGCATGAAGTTTTGAACCCCGACTTCTGTTTAATGTGAATTTGTACAGCTCACATTCCCGGCCCTGGTTTGGACTGACATATCCAAGGAAGGCTTCATCGGCTCAGTTCAAAGAGCAGGAACTTGGAGATCCCCCTCTTCATGTTGAACGCTTTCAACTTTCCCTGTCAAAGAGCACCTCTGCCCGGCTACAAAGGACCTAGTGGTTTGCAGGGTGCTAAAGGTTGCACTACAAAGCAGCTGGGGTCCTCCTGATGTGACCAAGTCAAAGACCAGGAGACACATAAAAGCACGTCTCGATTTGAAAGTGATGAAATGGCAAGTCAGATCATTGTTAATTTTGAGAAGGCTTTGTTCGATAGGTTACTCTTTCATGTCTGTTAAAAAGGAAATTCAGGTGTTCATCTACAGTATACAAAGCCCTGGAGCCCTCTTCAAAGTTTTTTTCGGATTTAGATTGCTCAACTGTACAAAGAATTGTGACTTTAAGGGTTGAAATAAAACTTGTAGGTACCTGAATGCAGACACTTCTACCAATGCAAGCTCGATAATCACGCTTTCCAGGATTGATTGTCGCAAGCGGGTGCATTCGTGTCATGCTAGAATGTCATGCAAGCTTGAGACAACAAGTTGTAATTTTCTAATAGGATGCGATCCCCCTTATGGAGTTGAAATATCAGATGGATTGCAACAACAATGCATTAGACTAACTATATTGCTGCCTTGAGTAGGTTTATCACTTTCAGAGTTCAGCATGCAAAGCTGGACAATGCACTTCACAACTTTGTTTATTAGAATAAAATAATTGAACTTGACAAAAATGAGGGTAGGTGAGGATCTGCAACATCAAGTGGGCATGGAATGGTCTCATCTATGACTCTTCGTCTATCTATTTCACTCGGTAGGCCAGACAGTTTCGGCTTGGGCTTTGGAAAGCTGTTTTCAGGCTTGAAATAAAACTCGCAGGTACACGAATGCAGATACTTCTACCAATGCAAGCTCAGTAATCACCCTTTCCAGGATTCATTGTCGCAAGCAGGTGCATTCATGTCATGCGAGCTTAAGACCACAAGTTGTAATTTTAAATTCTAATAGGATGTGATCCCCCTTTTGGAGTTGAAATATAATAATTCTGGTTATTTTAAATTCTAATAGGATGTGATCCCCCTTTTGGAGTTGAAATATAATAATTCTGGTTATTTAGAAATGGCTGGAATGCAACAACAATGCATTAGATGAATCACTCTATTGCTCCCTTGAGTAGGTTTTTCACTTCCAGAGCTCAGCATGCAAAGCTGGACAATGCACTTTACAGATTTGTTTATTAGAAAAAAAGATTTGCACTGGACAAAAATGAGGGAAGGTGAGGATCTTCAACATCAAGTGGGCATGGAATGGTCTCATCTTTCACTCTTCATCTATCCATTTCACTCGGTGGGCCAGAAAGTTTCGGCTTGGGCCTTGGAAAGCTGTTTTCAGGCTTGAAATAAAACTCGTAGGTACACGAATGCAGACACTTCTACCAATGCAAGCTCAGTAATCACCCTTTCCAGGATTCATTGTCGCAAGCGAGTGCATTCATGCCATGCCAGAATCTCATGTGAGCTTGAGACCACAAGTTGTAATTTTGAGTTCTATTAGGATGTGATCCACCTTTTGGAGTTGAAATATAATAATTCTGGTTATTTAGAAATGGCTGGAATGCAACAACAATGCATTAGATGAATCACTCTATTGCTCCCTTGAGTAGGTTTTTCACTTCCAGAGTTCGGCATGCAAAGCTGGACAATGCACTTTACAGATTTGTTTAATAGAAAAAAGACCAAGTGGGTATGAATTGGTCTCATCTTTCACTCTTCGTCTTTCTATTTCACTCTGTAGGCTAGAGAGTTTCAGCTTGGGCCTTGGAAAGCTGTGGTGGCGGCAACGTCCTACTGAGGACTCCAAGGAAACAGACAGACTGTCTGCCGTATCAATGTCCCATTGATTCAAGCTTTGCGTCTGAGAATTACACTGCCCTTATCTCCAAGCCGGCCACTTAATATTGTTCAGGGGCTCCGAAGCCTCTCATCTGTCAAGCATCACTTTCGTTAGGGCACATCTGAGGAAACGGAGGGGTTTGGGTGAGATAAGCTGGGATGGCCTGGTTCGGTTCGGCCTTCTGAAGTCTAAAAAAAGTGAGAGTGGAAAAAAAGAAGCCTTATTGGACAAGAGAAAGGACCTCGGTAGAATTCTAGAGTCCTGGAAAAACAGGATGAGAGGGGTTTTTTACACTCTTCCTACATCCGGCTCTGTGTGAAATGAGCCCAGTGCTCGTTGGGTATTCATCGCCAGCCTCCCAACCACCTTTGTGCACACACACACACACACACGCGCTCACTCCCTTTCTCCCAGCTTCCTTTTTATCTGCCGGCCCACAAGATGAGGAGAGGCGCTAATTGGTCCTGGGGGAGATTGGCAGGCCAAGGCATTCACGACAAGGCCCTCTCTGTCTTTTTCTATCTCTCTCCTTTCCTTCTCCATCTCCTTCTCTTTTGTTTCACACGTGGGCATTTTCCCTTGGGATAAATAAGAAGGAAGAAAGGACCTCCACTCCACAAGTAGCACAAGAGAAGAAAGATGGAAAAAACTGACTTAAGGCACACTTCCCCTCCATTACCAATTAGCGGCAAGAACCTGTCGATAGATTCAGTTAATTCTCTCGTCAGAGACTCCGATTGTGCCTGGCAAAAACAAAACCGCCTGCTATCGCCTCTATTGATTATGGGCAAACAGCTGGGTCTCTTTTAAACAAGACTACTTTTCCACACTCTTCCACCTGACCTCCTTCATCCGCTTAACTCTCAGGCTCTCCACGGTGCTCTGGGAGATGAAAAGAATGGAAGATCACAGACACTAACCTGGAGTCAGGATTCTGGTCTTTCGGCCCTTCAGCTGTTTCTGGACTCTGCGCAGCTGCAGGTGGTTCTCATGGCTGCGAGCGTTGTCCTGGATCCGCTGGGCGACCTCTGAGATGGCCTTCACTGCCTCTGCAGCAAGAGGTTATGCAGAATTAAGCAGCAGAGGGGACTGAATGGACACACAACCAAACTTCGACAACACAACAAACTTCGACAACCCACTACAAGACTGACGCTTGCTGGACTGCACATCTTTAAAGATACAGTTTCACATTTTCCGCTGTGATACATTGTAATGTACTGTACAAGTTCAATACATAAATTCACCACCAAAATCACATTTAAATAATGCTAATTTTATGATTTATATTTGCAATAATTTGTTGTAGTAATCTAATTAATCAATGTAACTATTCCATCATTTGAAATACTCCCCTAAAATAATTCTAAAACACAGTAGCATGAACACAAGTGTGACCTATTTATGCAATTTCTAACTTATTATGAGTGTCAACCAAGCAATACAACAGCATGACGCACTAATAAGTGCACACCCATAGGCGTTCATGCATTATGCAGCCTGCATTATTGCATATGATAATAACAAGTTTGTTTTTGGCCTCCACACAATGTTTGATTTCACCATCAACCCCCTGGAGAAACTTGAGGGTGCATTTACACATCCAAACACCACTGATTGGATGAAGACCTTGCCATAGGATGTTATGCCAGCCATCAAAAGCACAAGGCCTGCAAACTACATCTAAAACTTTTGTATTCTTGTCTGTCTGGGCTCTCTACAAAACAGATTTCAGTGGTTCATTGGTTTATTGGAAGCAAGCTGTGCAACATAAAAGCATCAAAACGTGATGTAAATAATGTAGAGCGAACTCGTTTTCAGAGTTGCAGATTGTACTTTCGGAGTCTGCAACGAAAACATTTCGCCAATTAGCGTGCCTTGAATTCATTAACTAATGTAGACATCATCAACTCATTAAAGAGGAAAAAAAAAGAAACACAAACAAGCAGATGGATACTAATTTTAAACCCAGCTTTGGTCTTATTGACTCGAACAATTCAGACAATGAACGCAGTGCTCGGGGCGTTTGCCTCATAGTCAAATAATCACAGCCTAATTGAGTCGCTTATCTTTAGAACAATTACAAGCAAAACCAAACAAAGTGACTGTTTAGAGATGACTGGGCCGCTCTCTGTACATCTCTCAGTCCTTCCCTTTTAAGAAAACCCTCTCTATAATTGTGTGTTCAACAGAGCTACGGCTGATGCATTATTAATACGATCTCATTCCACATTCTACGAACACTTTCTCTCTGTCTTTTTATTTTAGACATTCAGTATGTTTAAACAGAACTCGGTCCGAGGAGTTCTCGAGTGTTAACTTTTTTAATTAACCTTTGACAGTCTTCAAGAGGGAGTCTGGGAGATACTTGGCTGTAAAGATATAAATCTAAAAATGCATGCATGCATGTCGCAATTGCTACAATGTGTGCCTTGTATTCTTATTTTCTCATTTTATCAGGCTTAACTAAATTGCTATTGGTCTATGCGCCCTTCCATTAACATGTTAAGTGAATGCAAGTAATTCCTTATGGTTAACAGTTTAAGCAGTGTCATCTTGCGTTTGATGTATTTGCATTGTTTTTATTTTCTAATGACAATCTCTCTATTTCCAGGGGGATAGAGAGGGGATGGTTAGATGGGGTTTGATTGCACAACATACATACACTTTGTTGTTTAAATGAAATTAGCAAGAAGTTAGCTATTTGACAATTTTTTTTTTTACATAATTCGGCATGCATTTTGACTGTTTGGACTTGCTAAACAGAGTTTTAAATGGAGTGAATTGTCAAACACATGCTGTCTGATGCTCTTTTAGCATTTCAGGTGTGTGTCAATCAGCATAAGATTTCTAAGGGTACCATGGTTAATAACTCGCTTGAATTTCATGGACATCCAGCTGATTATTTTATACTCATGTTATATACTATAGTTTTTTTGTGCGTCTATACCGTTTATTTATTTTATTTTATTAGTTTATTTGATATAGACAATTACACTGGACAACCAAATGCATTTGTTTAAGTGTTTTAGCAAACTTGCTAATTCTCAACATCTTTCCAGAGGAGGCTTGAGAAAATTGACAAAATGGAAATAATTAAAAAAAAAAAACATATACACAACATTACAATTCTTTACATAAAATTACTGAAGCAAAAGCAAAGGCGACATAATCCAAAACTAACAGTAGACTATTTGTGCAAACACTGTTTTGCTTTTAACCACTTTTTAAGAACACTACTAAAAATATTTAGATTACTTTCTGATTTTAGGCTAACAGGTAAATCATTCCACAGTTTGGCTCCCTTTACAGAGAAGACAGATTGACCATAAGAGGTCTTACACTTTGCACTAGACAGTCACCATTAGCAGTTGCTCGTGTGACTCTGAGAGGTTTGATGCCTACTGATTAGATCAGATAACAGGATTGTAACATGATTATTTAAACATTTAAAAATCAATTTAAGATAATCAAATTGAATACAACTATCAAAACTAAAAAGGTTATGTTTACATAAAACTTCACAAAGATCCCATCGCAGGTTTTAAGACCATAATTTGAACTGCTTGTTTTTATATTGAGTCTTCAATGCAGTTAAAGAGGCTTGTGACCAAGATGTAATGCAATACGTCAAGTAAGAGAATATCATTGTGTGCATGTATAATTTTGCAGTATGATATGTTAAAAACCTAATAAAACGAAAACAGTTTAGATTTGGCTTAACTTTCTTACTCATATTTTTAACATGACTATGAAATTTTAAATTAATGTCTAGACTTCTGCCAAGATACTTAATACTTATCGTGTTAGTATTTAAAAGCAGTCGTGTGCTGCATGGATATATGTGCACAACAACTTAGCAAACAGTTTTCTTATTAAATTGCAGTGACTTTACTAATAATAGAAGTTATACAAATAAAACAAGTTATAGCATGATATTTTATAATATTGCAATACTTTTGTAATATCAGTATATATTGTGAGACACTCCCTTATAAAACAAATGCCATCATTTGTCATGTTTTCAGTTGGCACTTTGTCTATTGTCATCATCACACTAAAAATCAGTCCCAATCTCAGGGTTACATTGGCCAAAATCGCAAGTTCTATCATTTCGTATCCCGGACGAGCCCCCAATTAATGGTTATGACTTCAAAATGCACATGCTAAAAAATTCATTGGAATGACGAAAGCTGCAATTACGATAATTAAAACAGCATTTCACAGCATATGTGGAGAAAAAAATCCAGAGAAAAAAAAAATCAACACACAAAAAGTGAAGTGGAAAACAACAACAACAATGCCTCTTGCGAGTTTCACTGCTAGTTTGCTTAATCAGATACAATATAATTTGTCTGGGTTGTTTTTAAATAATTCCCTTTACAATATGCCCAGGCCAATGGAGAAAACTTTTCCATCTACCGCCCTCCCTCCACCAAAAAAAAAAAAAATAGTAAGCTTAAAAAGCAGCTCTAATGAGAAGAGGAAGAGGCAATGGAGGGGCAAATCTAGATATGTACCTTCATCTTAGAATCAGGGGCTGTTTTAATTTGTAAGCAAAAGCAGCAAGCAACCAATGAGATTTTAATTGATACACATAAATAATTCCTTGTGTACACTGGCTCTTAAGTCGGATATGCTGTTTATTTGACGATAGAAATGAGTCATTATCGGGGCTTCTGTTGATGCCGGAGAGTTTTATTTATTTATATTTCGCATGCTTGATATCCTCTGATCTGGTCCCTATTAATTATGTCAAAATCCACATCGAGAGTTTAGACTCACGTTAAGCTTTGCCGTACTTTCATCCTCGGCGAGCAAAGCCACCCGGTGACAATAACAACACGCGAGCGCTACAACAGGGGCCCCAGAGTTGTTCTTTGTCACCCTAACAAAGACAACGGAGGCTGTCTTATCGGCTGCCAGCTTAAAAAACTTTCTTCCCTTTAAGACGCGGGTTTGTTTTGGCACCTTCTTCAACAGGCCATGGTCTCCTCCGCAATGCTTATCTCCGCAAAGCACCTCATCATCACAAATACATTGAGTGATCTCTTTTTAGGTTGCTCTGTAAGTGACAAACTAGAGTGGAAAGCAAATTTGACAAGCATAACAAGTGTGACTTTGGGTGAATGCGATTCCGCAGCTTGATACAGATCCTGACAATAAACAGATAATAAGAGAGAAAGAAGAAGAAGAAGAAAAAAAAACATCTAGACAGGCTAAACCCATCAACATTTTTGTCACAGAGAGCGCTAACAGGATAAGAGAGTGTTTGTCGATTTGCGAGACGGCGGTGCCGCTTACTTGAAAGCTGCTGAAACTCCGGGTTGTCTGGACCGGTGTTCTCTGTCAAGTCCCTCAAGAAATGCTTGTACCTAAAAAAGCAACAAATAAACAGGCTTATTGTGAGGTTTCTATAAATACAACAAGAAAAGGCCCATCTCAAGGTAACGAGGTCGGACAAGAGCTGTCATCGCAACACCCGCATTAAGAATGCTTTTTGAGAAGGAATAAAGAGCCATTCAGCATGCAAAATTACACTAATGTGCCATATTTCTGGGTTGTTTCTTTTAAGATAATGCAACAGAATGGATTTTGAGCTATTTCTGTGCTATGGTGTAAAAATGTACAGTAAAAAAAAATCTGAATGTATTTCCTTCACATAAACAAGCACAAAAGGTCAAACTTTACACTCTGAAAAAATTCAATATTGATTATTGCGCTATTGTTCCCTAATGACACAAAAATGGCTGGGTGAATTAAGGAAATGACCCCTCGATTGCAATGAAAGGGCCAAATTGAGAAAGGAAGAAAATTTAGTGGTAATTAATTTCAGGGGATGGAGATAAAGATAGAGCGAGTCTTAATGCTAGAGATTACAGTTCACTTAAGCAGAACTCCAGCGACTGGAGACATCAAAGGCCTCTTTCAAATGAGAAGCTCTCAGAAAAAAAAAAAAAAAAAAGTTCGACTCTGCGGTATCGTCACAATTGGGAATACGATTCTCTACAGTTTTCTGTGCTTTGATTGTGGTGGAACTTGAAAAAGTTTCGGAGGGAGCGCATTAGCATTACACAGGTGTGTGCAGGCAATTAATGTAGCAATTAAATATGCATTACGGCAAATACCATGAAATGAAAAATCATACGCATTCGTTAACCTGAATGAGAGAGACTGGCTCTTTACATTTTAGGAGCTTGATCAGCAATTTTTAAATAAAACATACAATGTGTGACATTTTACTTCTATAAAGTGATTAAAATGTAATAAACTGAATTAAAATATGGTTAACATAAACTCGCAGTTGCCTTCATGTTATGGACTGATATTAAAATTATATTTGATAAATAACATGCATTTTCCCAGTGTTGGGTATTGGCTGGAAGGGCATGCGTGGCATAAAACATATGCTGCAAAAGTTGACAGTTCATTCTGCTGTGGCGACCCCTGATTAATAAAGGGACTAAGCCCAAAAGTAAATGAATGAATGAATGAATGTATAACATGCATAAACAAAGAAACAAAACTGTTATTTGTAAAATATATTTTAAAAATAGGAAATTGAAAAGCAGGAAATACTGAAAAAAAGAGGATTAATATAAATATTAATCTGAATATAATATACAATATACAGTATACTTTATATTATATACAGATTGAAATACTAAAATATTGATAATATAAAAAGGTATATTATGGAAATACTGTGAAAAGACAAACATATATAAAAACTTTTATGATACATAACAGTATGGAAACATTAATTATGAAATGAAGAAAAATAAGAGCATATTATATAACATTTGGAAAACAACATTTTAAATGATTTACTGAATTTAGGAATATTATGTACCTTATTCTGCTTGTACGAACAGATGCAGCTATTTGAAACATTTTGGCTCCATTCATATTTACAGCTTAAAACAATTGTTACACTACTTGATGTTGCAAACTGATACTTTCTTATTATATTATTCTACTTTGTCTGTATAATCATGCAAACACGTCTTAGTAGAGCTAGTAGTTTGACCGTTTTCTGCCGTTTATTAGTCATTTCTCTCATAGGGAGCTGAATGTGAAATTTTAAAACAATCGCAAAAACAAGCGCACTTCTGCATTGAAAAATAAGGTCAATAAAAGGCAAAATTATGAGTAAAATTTAATTAATTCTGATACTTCAATTCAATTCAATAGTGCTTTTTTACAATGTAGATCGTGTCAATGCAGCTCAACACTGAAGTTCTAGTAAATTGCAACTGTGTCCAGTTTAGTTCAGTTCAGTCTTTAATTTTCACTGCTGAAAGTCCAAACACTGAAAAGCAAATCCATCAATGCACAACTCCACAAGTCCCAAACCAAGCAAGCCAGTGGTGTCTGGCAAGGAACAAACCTCACCAATTGACAAAAGTGAAGGAAAACACCAAAAACAACCAGGCTCAGTTGGGCACGACCATTTCTTCTCTAGCCAAACTTCTTGTGTAGAGCTGCAGTCTTGGCACCGGAGGCCAGAGAACGCTGGATATCCGTCGTGGAGACGCTGCAGGTGTATGTATGTCACCGGCAGATGTTCAGGCTGACTTACAGCATCAATGCAGAGACTCGTCTTTCACTGGGGTCTAATGCTAATTTCATTATTGTCGTAAAAATTGTGCTTTTAAATATTCCATTGAAAAACAAAATAAGTATGCATTAATAATGAAAATTATTAATAAGGGGGATGATACATAAATAAAAAGAAATAACCCGCAATACATGTCATGAATCCCTGTATTGATCCCAGATAAGCATCATAAAACGTGTGTACCGGTTAATATCATCCAGTAGCACTAGGCCTAGGTGATGTCATCCCCAAAGTAAAGTCGTTCTAGTGGACGAGTAAACCTTCACAAGTAAATTCAACAACACATCAACCGAAAAACGCTGGCGACAAAAGTGATGCAGACTCGACTTCACCTGCTCACGAACAACCCTCAACATTTCTGCCACCAAAAATCAGCTTCCCGTCCACCATTTCCAGCAGTTGTCAAATAAACTGGGGCATCTTTAGTCAGTCTTAAACGGGGTCTTTTCTTTAGTGACTCAGCCTGTCGAATATTCTCCTTCCCCCTAGAGTCTCGGCGGAGCAGGGGCCTTTCTAATTGGAGGAGTGTGAAGTGAAGATCGTCTCTTTTTCCCTGCGGCCATGTGGAAATTATGTAAACAGTGGTGGCAGAGGCGCCAAGACGGCAATGTCACCCATCAGCCCTGACAAGCACAGAGGGGGAGAAGAGCTCAGCCTTTAAACTACTGCTTTTAAGAGACTACAAGGCCAAAATGACGGATGCGGGGCCCTTATTCGGCCCTCCCTTCCTCTCTGGAGCTTCCAGGTGATTTGATAAGCAGTTTCAGGCTACACAGAAAGGTTGTGTGTTTATTCTCAGCGGGGCTTGTGGGATCTCCAGCAAAGCTTCTCGTATTTGAGAAAAGGTAAAGTGGAAATAAATGCATGCTCATTTGTTTAATTATTTTCCTAGGATAAAGTTTTTGTATGCGAGCATTAAATGTGCTTAAGTGATTGCCTTTTAGATTGGTCTCCTCTTTAAATATTTGAACAATTTATTGGCAGATAGGAAAGGAGAATGTGGTTAAGGTTGCATCTGGTTTATGTAATACATTTGAAAAAATAAATAAACAAAAAATAAATGTAATAAATAAATACATTAAATAAATAAAAATAGATATGTAATAATTAAATACAAATTTAATAATCATAATTAATATATAAGAATATATATAATTTAATTTAATATATTCTTATTAAAATTTATAGAAGGATGAATTGATATAAAAGTTCAGATACCAAAGAATATAATATAATATAACATAATATAATATAATATAATATAATATAATATAATATAATATAATATAATATAATATAATATAATATAATAATTATTATTTTAAATAATAAATAAAATAATAATGTATAATATAATAATTTATAATATAATATATTATAATAAAATATAATTATTATATAATATAAAATAATAATTATATAATATAATAATATATAATATAATAATATAATTAAATTTTTAATAAATAAATGAACATATACACAAATACAAGTGGAAAACACAATAAAAATAATTATAAAATAAATAAATTAATAATTAAATTAAAACAAATAAACACAAAAATTGGGTCTAAAATGGGTATTATCATTTATTTAAATATTACAATTCTAATTTAGATATGGTATGGTTTTTTTACTATGTAAAAAAAAGAAAATTATTTTTCAATACAAAAAAACTTAATGACATTGAACTGGGAACTATTGAAAACCTACAGTAGTATTGATGCATTAGTGTTAAAACTGATACCAAGAACTGACAAACAGACACTATTAAAATACTATACTGATCTGGGGAAATCAATTCAAGTAAATAAAAGACTAAAAACTACAAACAATAATAAAAAAATTGATAACTTCAGATTACAAACCAAAGCTATTACCTGGCCAGTGACTTTCAGTTTTAAAAAAGAATACAAGAGGCCTGAAATAACTTCTAAAAATCTCTACAGCACTTCTGCGTATGTGCATTTCTGTCATCCACTGGTTCAGGGGCTCCGTGACCTTGGGCTTCATTGACAACTGCCATTGATTTAGTCTGTGAAATAATGTTCGCTCTGCCTGCTCCTGCTCCTCTATCAGGTCAAGACTGGAACACTCCAGCTAAACAGACATACAGGTGCCAGAACAGCCATCAGAATGCTGCAAATGACACTGATTCTTGTTTGAGGAGATTATAAATTGTTATAACGTTCTGCAAGCAGATTTCATCCGGTACAGACAAAAGGATAACTAGCAAAAAAAAAGAAAATGAAAAATATGAATATAAAATCTACAAAATATGTATGTAACTTATTTATCTATTTTTAGTATGGAGAGCTCTGCTGTGACATGTGAATTTCCCTCCGGGGATTAATAAAGTCAAACTAACTAACTAACTAAAAAGAAAATTATAATTGAAAATGATCAGAAATTTATAAAAAAAAAAAAAAAAATTAAAAATACTTATAAATTGATAGTTGGCTGCTAACTTTACTTTACTTTTATTGCTATTAATAATAATAATTATTATTATTATATAATATATGGATATATGCAATAGTTATGTCTGGATCTCGAATCTGATTGGCTGATAGCCCTGCAATATTCTGCAATATCAGAACTCGTACTGTTTCAGACAAAATCTCAAAGTGTTTTATACTCAACTTAAATCAGTTGTGGCGCCGTGCAAACTGTTCGCTCGAGTTAAAAAAAAAAAGCATGTGCTCCGCCAGCCGAAATCATGTCGCGCGCACCTAAAGCGAACCTCCGCAAACA